CGATGAGTTTGGGGCGGGGAAAGAATTTTTGGAAATACGAGGCAATGGCGGTACACCATTGTGAACGTAACTGTTGCCTCCGAATTGTTGGCTGTGTTGAGTCTGTGGGAGAGCTGAATGCGACATCGTCTAGCTGGATCTACGAATCTCAGTCTCAGAGCTGGATACGCAGACTGAGTTGTCTTCAGATGTTACATAACATTTTCTGAGTTGCTGGGATTCCTGAAAATGTGTGGGCACACTTTTTGCTTTTACACTTTTTATGGTGAATGGGTCAGAGGTTTTACAGGGAAATTCATCAATTTTACACTCTTTTATTCATGTGCATTCTGTTTTACCTCGTGCATTTCAACCCTCTCAAGGTAGGGGTGCCCATCTCACCTCCTCCCTGTGTTTTCTGGTCTCCATCCCTCTTCTGCTCCTAGCCCTTCTGAACTTTGCCCACGGGTAAAGTGATCCCAAATGGTAGGCTATTCTAAGGTGTTCAAGATCAATAGTGGCATTATTTCCCTTACAGACATACCTATTGTTTGGTTGCAAATTGAACCACAGGGATGAGTTCATTAGCACACCAAAAGCTCGGCCCTCGTTTTGGAGCGTGTTCTGATCTCTAGCTGGGAGGCAAGCCTAGACTCCTTCATGATTTTCGTGTGATATCTTCCTCCCACCCTATGATGGGCCTTCTAATGGGATCCCTTTCAGAACAGTGAAGCGGGAGCAAGGCACCATCTAGTTCTTCCGGTCTCTGGATCCTGCAGACTGACCCCCACGTGCTCCATTAGTCCACTGGACTCATTGTTTCCAAGGTCTTGAATTTTCATTACTCTTCTTTCTTGTAGGCAGAAAGAGACTGACACCTTAGATGGTATTGCATGGCCTTAGATGATCACTCATGATTTTTAAGTCCCCAGGCACTGCTCACCAAAATAAGATGTAGAACAAAGTCTTTGTGGACTGCATCATGCCACTTGAATTGGTGTCCCATGAGAATCTGGCCCTGAGCCCCCAGGCCCAGAGACTCATTCTTCCAAGGAGCCTGGTTATGTTCAAGTGTCCATAACTTGATCCCCGGTATGCTCCACCACATCGTCCATGGATCTAGTTACAGGACAAGTAAACGCCCATGTACAATAACTTCTGTGAGGATGGAAGCATGGGGAATACCAACACTTACTACTAAGTAGGGAACGGTTAGGGGAATTGAAAAGGAACCAGGAAAAGTGGAAAGCCGAGTTGGAGTGGCACCAAGGAATCCAGAGGTGGGGTGTTTCAGGAGGAGGGAGTGGTTGGTGGAGTTAAATGATTAAATCAGTGCTCAGTGTATTTGGCAGCTAAGTTGGGTTGCACTTGGTAAGTTTCCGTGGAATGGAAGAAACAAAGCCTTGCCAGTCATCGGTAAGGAAGTTAATACCGCATGGGTTATCTTTGGAAGGTTAGCTGTGGAAGGAAAAAAGAAAGTTGTAATGGTTTCTAGAGAGGAATACGGAATCATCAATAGAGTGTATGGTGATGGGGGGAGAGGTGCATTTATGAGGGAAACGGACAACTTCAGAGAGAAAACAGATTCACTGCCGTCCAGTCAATCCCAATTCATTGTGACCCTATAGGAGAGGGTAGAACTGACCCTGTGGGCTTCCAAGACTATAATTCAAGCCTTGTTTTTCTCCTGTGGAGAGGCTGGTGGTCTGGAACTGTTGACCTTGTTTGTGTTTAACAGCTCAGCGTATAACCCACTACACCAGCAGGGATGTTGTTAATCCAACAAAGGGGTGAGAATTGGTGGATTATAACTTTTGAGAAATTCAAGGCCTGCCAAGTGTAGAAAATAGATGTAGGGGTTCGATTTGGAAAAGAAGGCGGTGGGGGTGGGGTGGGGGAGGCTCTTGTATTGAGCCTACCAGGAAGGAGATAAGACCCAAGGAGAAATGATGCCTTCGGCTGATAGAATTGGCAAGAATACTAAATATACCATGGACTGCCAGAGGAATACACAAATCTGTCTGAGAGGAGGTACAACTAGGATGTTCTTTAGAAGTGAAGATGGCAAGATTTTGTCTTGTCTACGTCAGACATGTCATCAGGAAAAACCAGTCACTAGGAAGGGACATCGTGTTTGGCAAAGAACAAGGTCCGTGAAAAAGAAGGAGCCCATCAACCAGAACGATTGGCACAGTCGCTACAACCATGAGCCGAAATGTAGCAGCAAATGTGAGAAGAACACAGAACCAGGCAACATTCCTTCATCATGCAAAAGGTCGATATGGGTCAGGGCCACCTGGGCACCAGCCACCACCACCATATGGCAGTTGTGTGGAAGTTCTGTAGACATGTATAGACAGTTCTGTAGGATGACTCGGGTTCCAAATCAGGGCAAGAAAGTAGTTTCTGCAAAACATGGTTGTCTCTGTGAGATGCTACTGGCTGCTGGTGAGAGAGGAGTATCTCCGTCTTGAAAAGAAGAGCCGGTGTTTGAGACATCTGGCATGACCAATGCCAGGGTTTGGCAAGATTGTCAGCTAGCATTCAGATTCAGAGTCCCAGTGACGCCTGTGTCAGGCGAGGTGCAGAGATAAACATAGCTGGCCAATTTCTGGATTGATCTAGGGAGGCGGTTTAATTATAAGGGTTCAATGGGCAGAGAAGGGTGCAAGGTAGGTGATAGCAGTGACTGGGAGTTGGCTAAGCAGTTCTTGTAGACATGGAGGCCTTGGTGAGTTGGGTATTAAAGCTAGGAGGAATGAGGTGATCTCTTTTAAATGAAAAAAAAAATAGGAAATCTAATAATACATCACATATCTGAAGAGAACGAGAGTAAACCATTTGACTAACCAAAGCTAAAGGAGAGTCCCTTGATACATCTAGGTTGACAAGAGAGGATAGTTATTAGATCCCCCACTTCAACCCTAAACCCCATTTCACTTCCTAAATTCCTCTTAGCAAATTATCTGTAGATTTTTACTCCTCACTCCCACGACCATATTTAAGGTAGTTCTTCTTTTCTTCCCCACACGTTAACTACTTCAACCCAGACCAGAAGCTATGCACTTCAATGAAAACACTTGTAGAAAATGTTCCCAGCCTTGGGCTAGGAAGCAGCAAGTGACGGAGGGATTGCCATTGAATTTTAGGGGGTCCATGGGATTGCAAGGCCCAGGCATGGGGTCTGATTAACCTTTTACTTGGAGCAGAAAAGTGAGAGTACATCCACAAATAAATCTGACCTTATTTTATAAACAAGAGAATACACAAGACCCACTGCCGTTGACTAGATTCTGACTGCATTATATAGGGTTTCCGAAGCTCTCAACCTTTCTGGAAGCAGACAGCCTCCTCTTTGTCCCACGGATTGGTTGGTGAATTTGAACCACTGACCTTGGGGTTAACAGCCCGATGCTTACCAGACAGTGTCAGCAGAGCTCCTTGAAAGAATATGGGGGGGCTTCGAAAAGTTTGTGGAAGAGTGGAATGAAAAGAGAATGAGCTTTTCCTGTCTCTCACAGACATCCAAATAGAGATGATGCCCACTTGTTATAAGAAAGAGGGAACAGGAATTAGGAATAAGGAAGCTTTAGTCATTCCTGATTCAGGACACCCTTCAATATGCCAAATATTTTAGAGCCTGGCTTTGTACATGATCTTCAGGGTCACCATGGGCCACTACATTTATACAATTTTGTTGCCGGTGAACTGTTAAGAAAAATATCACATGTAACCAATAATAGAAATTGACATTTATTTCATATATGATTTACCATTGGGGTAACATCTCAAGTAAACAGCAACAACCAATGACATTGCCATTGAGTGAATTCCAACTGGCAGAAGCCCTATAAGGACCGAGAACTGCTCTGTAGGGTTCTCGAGGCAGCAGATTAACAATTCTTTGGGCCTTGGAGAAGCTGGTGGGATTGAACCATTGGCCATTTGATGAGAAGCCAAATGGACAAAAATGTCACAAGGAAGAATTATTCTCTACAGATTTTTATACTCTGGTTGATTGCTAGTCAAACAATTGTGGTTATTAAGGTTGTGCACAACCTTAGATTACATAACAATGAAAAGAATTATGGATTCACCTGAGATCATAGCTTTGGAGTTTCTTTTGAAACCAGACATCAATAGTTCTTTTCAAAGCAACATGCTCTTTTCTAAGTTATCTAGCCCATTGTTTGAGAATAGGTTCTCGTCTTCTCAAGGCTTGCCCTCCAAAGATCATCTCAGCATGATGATAGCTCGGGTGAGTCACTTCCACCCCCATGGATCCCAGAAACTTAGATTTTACAAGAACAAAAACTCTGTTTCTCAGAACTTATGAGTAAGAGCATGCAGGGGACTATGCTGGTTTACCACCAGATCCTTCAAAGGATCAGTGACCCTGGAACAGTTCAACCCTCTGCATTATGCTAGGGAAACTAGAATAAGACCTGGATTCTGGTTTCTCTACTTTCTCTTTCTAGCATTTCCCTTTCTTCTTACTTTGCCGGGGGTGGGGGTGGGGGTGGACATCAGGGTGTGGAGAGCAGGCATCTAAAGGGCATTGTGAACCATCTCAAGCCTTTATTTTCCTCGTTCACTCTGTTCCACCCAACCCTTCCCCAGTTTGTCATGTCTGGTGTCGTTTTCCACAACTACCCCTTTATGTGACAGAGGCAAACGCTCTTGAGGTGTTGGAGGAACAGAGTTCATTGGGGCACTGCGATAAGTGGCAATAAATGCTATCTGAATTAGATAAAGAGAAAGGCTGAGGCAACAAGAGAGACTTGGGGTGGGGGCAGAGGAGGGAGGGTGAGAAATAGAGGAAACCATTGGGAGGTTGGAGAAATTGCTTAGCTATGTCGAATGCAAAAACGATGATCCCCACCTAATTCACAAGAAAGAGAGAGAGATGCTGACCAACAAATTGTCTTGTAGATCCACTCATTGTAATCTCAATGCCCAGCAATTCTTGGACTGGAGGAGCGTTGTTATTTGCTTTAATGCAGACATCTGTGTCCTTCCAGATGGCCAGGAAGCTCAGCGTGCTGGAAGTCCTCCTGATCATCTTCTTCATAATTGTATTATCCGTAGATATCCTTCTACTGATGCTTGTGTTGGAGAAAGATAAAGGTAAGGGAAATGCTAATGGCTGCCCCGTGGAAGCGTTGGCAATGGAAGCCTCTCATTGGACTTTTCACCCGTCACCACTGCAGGAGTCAAAATCCATACCTGCAACTAATTTTAAGCCTGTAACTAAAATGAGAGTGGCTATCTCTAAAGCAAGACCTTGATTGTTAGTGATATTCAAGGTTTCCCGAGTCCAACTTAATACCATTCTAACAGGATGCAGAATTGAACCCACCAGGATGCCTGTCCTTCAAGCCAGAGTCTTGAGGGGACTAGAGCCTCCAAGGATGGAGACCATGAAGACAACAGTGTCCAGTTCTATTCGTTTCTGGAAGGAGACATTAGGTTCCAAGGAAGTTGAGAGCTAATTTGTTTGGCTGTGATGTCAGTGGCGCTCAGCCTCCATTTTTGAGTTGGGTTGAAATCATGATGATTTCCCTCATAGAAGCCTCTGGAACTCCTAGCTCACTCTGGAAAAACAACCAGCCGCATGCCCTGTCCTATGTGCACACACTGGACCCTAAACAATCCAAGAACACGTGTGAGACAAAAATCTCTTTTTATTTCAGACAGGATCTGGGATTCTGGGCTTTGCTCTGCATGATAAAGTCTGACTTATAAATCGAACTTAATTAAGCCTTGGGTGCTGAGGAAGCATAATAGGATCAGCACCATGCCTATTCCGTTTTCTCTTCACCACCCTCTACAGTAAGCAGGTAGACACTTGCTAAGGACAATTGTGGCATTGGAAGATGATTGGAAAACCATTGATCCAAACCATTCTTGAACCCATTCCTACTTTTACCCTGTAGAGGCTGGTCGGGGTACTGGGTGCATGACATCAATGCCTGCTATATACGAAAGAAGTTGACCCTGTCATTTGACATAGAACGACATCTTCTGACCTGCACTGATTCTGAATCAGGCTCTGATTCATCTAGAGCTGTTCTACTTTTAAGTATTTTACATGTTGGACCCGATCAAGTGCTTTGAAGACATGTTTGCATGGGTTGAAAGGAACAGTTAAAACAACAACTTTATAGTACACACACACAATTGTAAAGCCACACAGATTGTAGAGACCGTTTTGATTGGGGATGTCTGAATGAAGATAGAACATGAAAGGGAACCTCTTTGCCTACTTCTAATGTTGCTCAGGCTTTTAGTACCAGATCCAAGAAGGTATCACTGAACTCAAGGTCACAAAGATTCTTCTGTTTTACAGTTTGAACTCTTACATCAGGAGACTTCAAAACACTTGTGGAAAATGGAATTAAAAACGGATGGAAAATGTCAATACACTTTTTGCCGCCCCATCGTATTTAGGGCTATGCTCCATATCGAGTGTGTTACTGTGTAGGCATTCCTTCCTTTGCCTGTGGACATCCGATTGTCCCACGTATATCTTCTTCATTCCATTCCTTCACTCTCAGCAACTTGTAAGGGAGGCTGTGTAGCTATTATTGGCCCCATTTCAAGTCTAGACATTCACTCAACATCGGTTTTTCATATTTTTGCTTTTATCATCTTTTTTAACCTCACCCCATATAAATGTGGAGGTTCTCAGCATAAAAACCTATGTCTCAAAAGGTACAACCAAGGGAGTGAAAAGATGTCTTAGGAGAATGTATTTGCCAATCATGTATTTGATAAGGGTGTGGAAATAAGATATGTAGAGAAATCTGATCATTCAATCATAAAAGGACAAATAACCCAATTACAAAGTGGACATAAGGCTCAAAGAGATATTACTCCAAACATATACAAATGGTCAGTGACCACATGAAGAGTCTACATCATCGCCCACTGGAAAACAGCAATGAGACAGACAATATCACAGTTACTAAGGATGTGGATAAGCTAGCCTCATGCATCACTGAATGTAGAATGGTGAAAACACTTTGACAGAAGTATGGCAGGTCCTCTAAGAGCCAAAGATAGAATCAACTAGATAGAATCAACTATGACTTGGAAGGTAAGAATTGAAAACGTACATTCACACAAAGCTTTTGCACAATGACGGAAAAATGGGAATTAGCCCTCGACATCCACCCATTGATGAATGAAGAAGTCCAGTGTTGCCTATTCAGACAATAGACTAGTGCTCAGCCATAAATAGGAGAGGCATCCTAATGTATGCGTACTACAGCATGGATGCACCTTAAACACAATGGGCTAAATGAAAGATGTCAACCAGAAGACCATGGATTATTTGCTTCCATTTAGCTGAGATGTGTAAAAAAGGCTGTTTCATAGAGGCAGAATGGAGATTCATTGTTTCATGGGCCAAGAGCAGGCGAGGGGAGTGGGGATGTCCTACTCTGGGCTGTTGTTGTTGTTATTAGGTGCTTTGGGGCTGACTTGGAGCAACCTGATGTCCAACAGATGGAGACACCAGCAGGAGGGGAGGACAAACCTCTCTGGAGGGGAGTTCTGAGTCAGGATGCCTGGTGCTGTTTAAGGGCTCCCTCCTGTTTAAGGCCAACTTGATCTGGTGTCTCTTAAGACTGTTTTTTGCTTGTTCTTATCTTTCCCTAGCACCAGTTAAACTTTGTATAAACTTAATCACGCAGCTAAGGCGCGCTTTCCCTGTGCTCAAAAAATGCATGGAAAATGGAATTAAAAAACAATGGAAGGTCAGCAGAATTAATTCTTTGTGCAAGAGCTCCTCAGGAAATGATTTTGCTCTAACCTAGTTATCTTAACAATCTGTCCGGGGTGAGGGTAAGGGTGGGGTGGGGAATCTATTTTGTAATCACCTAGGCTCAAACCCACTTGCCCTAACCTGTTGGCTGAACTTCACATTTCAAAGGAATTCAAGTTAAAGTTCTTCTGACCTAAAAGCATTACTTCCACTATCACCAGCCCTAACTCCCACCAGCAGTTAAGGACTGGGTCCACTCTACTTAGTCCACATAAGCCCTGTACGATGCTTTAACTAGAACAGCCCCCTTTTGTCAAGTAAATTTGCTAACCAAGCTGAAACCCACCTGGGAAAGACTCAGGCTTGCCTTCCGAGCCCCTGACTCAGGATACCCCACTTGGTGATAGTCTAGGGTTACAACTACCAAGGGCGTGGTTTCCTTCAGCTTCTTGGGGCTCCTTCACTAAGAATCCCACCACCCTTCCTCCATGTTGATGTGCTGGATCTCACGCACTCAACGGAATGGAATTTATTCTCTTCCTGACTTGCTCTGCCTCTTTACTTTCAATAAATCTCTTCATTTTCTTTTAAACGGAGTCTCGGTTGTACATGATACCACCAATGGGTGGAGAGTTTCTGGAGTGGGGATGACATTTTTATGAGATTAGATAGTAGTGATGGTTGTCCAACTTGTAAACGTCATTAAACACAAACAAAACATACAAAAGAACCACGTTGGATTCTATACGTTAAGAGAATTGTACGTGGGGAAATATGGACTTGGTAAAAGTGTCAAATATACTTTTACACAGTTTTTTTACCAGTAGGAATTTCAGAGCCATTAGTTGTATCTCAATAGAGCAAGTTAACAATGAGCAGATGGGTCTAACCTTGGAGCGTCAGACAGTGCACATGACTGGTGCTCCCACTGGCAGTCGTTGCTTGGTTTCTGATGCCCTTTACCTTGGGAACGGCCTGAAAGTTTGCTGATCGCAGTGCCAACGTTCTTGTTGATTACACTGCCCACGTTTACGTCGGTCTCTTCTTCCTCTGCAGACTCCTTTGTGGCAGAGTGCCCGGCGATCCCCGAATCGGAAAGGATAGACTGCGCTCCTGGCCAGGCAGTGACACAGGTCAGAGAACTAGCCTTCCTGCCCCTGGCCTGTACACCTGAGATCCGACTGCGGGGAGGGGAGAGAGGGTGGTGGTGATGGAGTGTTTGGGGTCTTTTCTCTCAGTCTTATTGAAATAAAGGCAGTGGGAAGAGAGGAGAGAAGATGGAGCTATCAGACGACACGTGGGCACTTGGGGAGGGCAAGGGTTTCCAGGTGTCATGCAGCTGTCATAGGTGCAGAGCCATAAAGGGTTAAATGTGTGTGGGCTAGATGGTGTACTCCTTGAGGATAGGGAATGAGTGTCTGAGCCACTTGTAGAACTCAAGCGACTTGTTCTATTATTTATATCGACATTTATATGATATTGCTGCTGCGTGTCTGTGACTTGATTCTGACTCTTAGGAACTTCCTAGGGCAGAGTAGAACCGTGTCCTGGTTCCCCGGAGGGCTGTAATCGTTGCTGCTAGATGCCTCTGGATCTGTTTTGACTCACGGCCACCCTGTATACAACAGAACGAAACACCACCTGGTCCTGCGCCATCCACACACCTGTTCCTATGTTTGAGGCCATCGATGAAGCCACTGTGTCCACCTATCTTCTCTGGGCTCTTCCTCTTTTTCACTGCCTCTCTACTTCACTAGACCCGATGTCCTTCTGCAGGGACTGGTCTCTCTTGAGGGCAAGTCCAAAGTAAGTGAGATGAAGTCTCTCCATCTTTGTCTCTAAGGAGCATTCTGACTGTACTTCTTCCAAGACATATTTGTTTTGTCTTTGGGCAATCCCTGGTGTTTTCAAAACTCTTCCTCAGCACCCAAAATCTTTAGGATAACAAATGATTATGTGTCTTCTACTGTGGAACTGTTTGCAAACTCACTGCCATTGAGTCAATTCTGACTCATAGTGACCCCTCTGTGGAGTTGGTGGTGGGTTTGAACTACCCACCTTTCAGTTAGCACCCAGCATTTTACCATTGTGCCTCTTACATTTGTTTATCTTTTGTCTTTGCTTTTATACATTCCCACAAGCTCAGGTACCATCAACCTCAATGGAAATCTATCTAAATAGAGACTTTTCTATTTTACAAATGTGCATGAGTCACTGCGCTAAATCATTGCTTACCAATTCATGTGCTTGAAGGTCTAGATAAAATCTTTGGACAATACTCAATTCAGTGAGAACCACCGTGTCTAAACTGACAGGTCCCTGTGGGCAAGGAGTCAGAACTGAAAAAGAGGAGTTGGACAGAATGCTCGCATCTACCTTTGGGAGGGTGGTCATTCTAGGCAATGGAATGTCAAGCTTAGCCCTTCGCCTCCCCAAAAGATGTAGCAAGGAAACATCGGATGTGGAAAGGCGAGAAGCTAAAGAAGGCCAATGGTGTGAGTCGTTCTCACACAAATACAGATTCTGAACACCTGTCGGTTGATATGGATGCATGGGAAGCCATGACAGTGTCATCCATCATCATGATATGCATGGAATAAGTTCAGAATTTTCAAGAATAATGGCAGTATTTGTCGTTTGATTGGATGATTAAGGGATGTGATTTTTAAGCAATCAATTTTAGTCTTTAAAAATTTTGTTTATTTTAACATCATTTTATTGAGGGCTCCTACAGCTTTTATAACAATCCATATATCAAGTGTATCAAGCATATTTGTATATATGTTGCCATCATTATTTTCTAAACATTTACTTTCTATTTGAGCATTTGGTATCAGCTCTTCTTTTTACCCTCACTCCCCACCCTCCACCCTAGGGACCCCTTGATAAACAATAGATTATTATTATTATTTTCATATCTTATACTGTCCACTGTCTCCTGTTCCCCTTCTCCCAAGGTTTCTTTCCCCTCCTCTCACCACCTTCCCTCTGGTATCTCCCCACATTCCTGGTAATGATATTCCCATTTCTGTTCCTGAGGGATTTATCTGACCTGGATCCCGTGTGTCGTGAGCTCTTATCTCCACCTGTGTACATGCTCTGGCCTAGCCCAAGGTGAAAGGCAAGATTGGGGTCATGATAGTGGGGGATGAGGAAGCCTCAAGGAACTAGAGGAATATTGTGTGTTTCATTGGTGCTA